GAGGGAGGGAGGGAGGGAAGGAAGAAAGGAAGAAAGAGGAGGAGAGGTATAGAAAGGGAGAGAGACAGATAATACAGAGAAAGAGACAGAGAGAGACAAAGAGACAGAGAGAGCCAGGGAGAGAGCCAGGGAGAAAGCGAGAGAGCGAGAGAGCGAGAGAGAACACAGCATCAGCCCAGCTCTTAGCATAGAATTTTGGTAATGGCAATGAACTGTTATTTAAGTGGTCCACTCTAAAAGGCAGTGATATTTCTGTAGAAAACAGACTTGCTGGGTGTCAGCAAGTTTCCTGTTTTTCTTTCTTTTTACCTGTATAGTTTGATCTTTGATAGTGAGGACTTAGTTAATAGGTAGGAAAGTCACAGAAAGCTTACTGGACTTTAAGTGTATCTTGTGGCTTGAATTTTTTTGTTTTGTTTTGTTTTTAAAAAAGAGACACACATCCTTTTTATATCTTAGGAAACTGTATGTTGTAAAAGGATATCCAGGGAAGTTAAATACTACATGCTTTCAATTCTAAGACATTCAATTTTAAGATTAACCACTAAAAACAGCTTTCTGGGGGTGTTTCTGTGGACACTGGATCTCACTGAATGGGTAAAAGACTGCAAGATGTTTTTCAGTCTCACAAACATTTAGATCAGGGTTTCTCAACCTTAGGGTCATGACCCCTTTGGGGGGTCAAGCAGCCTTTTCACAGAGGTCGCCTAAGACTGTCAAAAAAACACAGGTTGTTTTCCAATTGTTTCTGGAAAAACATCATGATCCATAAGAGTAGCAAAATTACAGTTATAATGTAGCAATGAAACAATGCTATGGTTGGGGGTGTCACCACAGCCTGAGGAACTGTATGAAAAGGTTGCAGTATTAGGAATGTTGAGAACCGCTGACTTACATAAAACAATTCACAGGACTTGAAAGCGAAAGGTCACTAGCTTGCTGCCCACTCAATGAAGACATATTATAGTTTACAAACCATTGAAGACCAGAGTCCCATGCTACTGGTAGAACTGTTTACAGGGGAAAGACAATGAAGGGCCAACATACCATCCATGGTAAATTTCTACACAAAGACAGGGTACCTCTCTAGGGCCACACACGCTCACCTTATTTGGGAATGGGAACTTGCTTGGTTCCACTTTGGCAGGAGCTTGAATAGCGGAAAGTGGAGGAAGCCAGGTCATCTCCTAGAGGTGGGATCAAAAACAGTATTTTCAAACAAGTGTCTCAACGTCAGCAGCAGGCACCTTCAAGGGGGCACCAGAATGACAGCAATAAGTAAAGGATAAAAGGAAATTCAAAAAGAGATTTGAAACTCTTATGAACAGTTCCAGACTCCCCCCGCCCTGTCCCCCGCTACACCTTTAAAGAGAAGGGTGTCCCATTTTTCATGCCATACGAACAGAGGAACAGAAACTCGAACCATTACACAAGATTTACAGGATGTTTCAGATGTCCTGTGACGTCTAAGGGGTGCTTAAGACAGCTGAAATCTTAGTGCTCATTACTGGATGAATTGTCCAAACTATTAAAGATAAAGGAGTTCCCAACCAGTTTCATACATCACGGCAGTCTTCATAAGAAATGTTGGGGTTAGGGGTGAGGAGAGAAACCAGCCACGTACATGCAGTGAGAGAGAAATTGCATCAAATTCTATAAGCCAGTATTAGGACCACAACCTGAGTCTGTGCACAGTCATATGTCACATGCTCTTTGAAAGACACTGGCCCCTGAGCTACAGAAGAGGGAGGGGGTCTTGTTGTTCACAATTAGAATTTTTCTTCAATTTCGTCTCCTAGAAGACAGTTGCTGTCGGTAATGTATTAAGGGATTAAATTGACTCCTGATGACCAAGGGAATGCATGTAGTTTGAAAACAGGTTCTGAACCCTGCTTTTTAATTGTCCCACGTTTTCGTGTCTGAGAAAACATGAACCTTAATTGATTTTTTTTTTAAAGAGAAAAGTAAGACATTTGCTCCATTAGAGACAGCACTACCCTCTAGTAGGCAAGACGTTGAGAAAGGATCCTTCAGGGCTTGGGAAATCCGAGGATGGTCTTGAGTCTTCTTCCCCTGAGTAGCTCTCTCTCCTGAAGAACCTCAGATGGGGCAGAATTCACATAAGAGCCAAGGGAAGGTGAGTATCTAAGCCACCCCGTAAGGATTACCGCCTAGGATGAAGTGCTGTCATATCTTTCACTGAGGAAGTTAGTCCTCAAGTACAAACACTTGACCTGTTTTTCTTTTTCTCCATTAGGAACTGTCTGATGTGCCCCTGAGGCCATCCTGATTACTCAGTAGCTTTCTTTGCAAACAGTTCTTTATTCACACAGTTTGGACCATGTAATTTTTATGGCACAAAATAAACTAATTACTCGTGATAGACATCAAACTTGTAATACTCCCCCAACATGTCCACATTAATGTCCCACCAATTACTGTATGTTCTGTTTATATGTCGGCATGCCATATGTGTATGTACATTTTGTGTTTGACTGTTATAAAACCCCAAAGATGAAGCTATTCTTAAGTAAGTGACATAGAGGTTACTGAACCATAAATGATTGGACTTTCTTAAGGACATGTCTTGCAAACAACCTCTCACAAGTGACACTTTCAGAAATGAATTTACTACACAGTTCATCCAAGACAGAGCAAACAAAGATTAAGAAAGTGCTAAGCTGAGATCCCCTAAGGGTAGGAATGGTGTCCTCCTGGTATTTGTATCCTGAGCCCTGACCACCCACTCATTACTACATAACGGTTTCTGAGGAGTTCCTGTGGGTAGGCACCAGGCTCAGGTGACCGAGTTATGAAGCTAGCATATCAGCCCTGATAGTATTTATAATCAGTGTTTTCTCTTAGCCCAGCGAGACTTGCAGGGTTTCCTCCCTTCATGCGTTCCTTCTGTCCTATCCACCACCCAGCTACTCTTCCATTCATCCTCCGTCCAACCCCACAAACAACAACCAACAGAGGCAGGGGTCCCCTACCCTTGGCTTGCTGTCCTTGCCTTCCTTGTAATTCTCCTTTGAGATTTTGCCCCCTTTCCTTTGTTAGAAGGAAGCTCTATCACTCTCTGTAACCTATTCCTTTAAGCCAGTCCCGTGGTTCCACCCAAACTATTTCTTCCTGTTTACTTTCCCAAGAGCCCCCTCCTGGCTTTTAAGAACACCTGTAGTTGTCCAAAAGCATTTTACATTTTATACCACCTTGTTGCATGATCTGAGTCCACATCTATTATATATGTAATATATAATAGATAGTATGTATATTATATAGTCTATATATAGTATACTATATAAAGTATATACTATATACCATATAAAGTATATATTATATACTTTAAAGTATATAATATATACTTTATATAGTATACTTTATATACTATATACTATACATATATTGTATAGTATATATTATGTAAGTATATAATTATTATATGATATATAATATGTAATATATAGTATATGTAGTATACACACACACACACACACACACACACACACACACACACACACAATTTTTTGGAAGAATTACTCTTTGCTCTCTCCAGTTTACTCAAGCACATTCAGAGTAGATAATTTCTCCCACTTAAAAGTAAGTACAACAAATTTTTTTCTAAATTCGATACCTAACACCACTCAGGTAACAGACAGGTTAGCTGACTTCTCTAAGAGCCTCCAGAAAGGTGTAACCACTCTTAGGTCCACTGTAACCTTTAGATTAAACCTCTGTTTCACCTTCTTTGATCAGAATGGCTGCTAAGGAGAAGACACTGTGTGGCAATACAGACCTGAGATGCTGACTTCCAGTCTAGGACCTCTAGCTGGCTAGGGGATGCTCTTTGCCCTGGCTCTAGTCTGTTCTTTGGATGCTGCTCCTATACTCTGTGACCCTTCTTGAACCTGTCTGGTTCTTACGTTCTGACATAGACAACTCCTCTGTATTACGTCTGACAACCAGAAGCCACTGGACAGCAGTGCTCTTTAAGACAACTCTATGGGTCCTCATGGCAATTAAGCAAACTGCCTTCCCCACTTACGATCTCCACCTGCTCCTCTACCTTGCCCCTCTCCACCTCCTGGGAACTAGATCCTGCCATCTTTTACTTAACTTTAACCTTTTCTTCCTCCTCGGTCTCTTCCCTTAAGAAACCTTGATCTCTTCTTTAGCTTTTCCTTATGTCTATATTTCATGTCAACAGCCATCTTGTCTTGCTATTTTTTAAAAGTATTATTTAAGCATATTTTGCTGCAAACCGCACATGCACATGTTCACACACAAGGGAATCTATGGTGTACTGGGCATATGGAGTTTAAGGATAATAAAATGGATGGTTGATGAACTCACAACCCACCAAGGTTTTATCATCCACCTTTTGGGGGAACCATCTCTAATAAAGCTATTTCCAGTGGTCACATTCACTGGATTCTCCTGTAGGGACATTTCTTCAGGAAGCTCTACCTTAACTATCTCAGTTCCATGGCATCATCACCTCCATTCTTGAGCTCCTACCCTCCCTGGTCATTCCCCTCTTCTTGACTATTCCTTGAATGTCTGTCTTCAACCTACTTTCTACACCCTGGTAAAGCCTATTATTATTATTATTATTATTATTATTACTACTGTGGCTTTAGAGATCACTGATGTGTATGCTACCCAAATGCATAGCTAGCAGTGAACAGCCCATTGTAGGTGTCTACTGAGTCTTAACATGGGTGCTCTACAGTTAATTCAAACTCACCACTGGTTGCCTCTTCCCCACTAGCTATTCCTCCTCAGTATTTTATGTCCTGGTTACATGCACCAACATCTATTAACTCTTCCAGCCACAATCCTTGTTATCATTATGGAAGCTTTCTCCTTTGCCACACCAAGACATGAAACAGCGTATTATATTAATTAAGCACTGAAAATAGAAAATGTGTTTGCATGATTTTGTTTTTAAGCACAATCTACTACTGCTAACTCCCAGAGGTAAGACCAATTACTTCTCCATTTTATAGATGAGAAAACCAAGTCACTAACAGGCTAACGGACTGCTATTGCCAATCAGTGTGTTTTAGACCTTTCAGGTTCTACCCAAGGATGCCTGAACTCTATGTATGCTGCTGGTATCACATAGCCTCTGCCTATCCACAGGGCTGCCTCTCATCCACTCTCGTCTCCCACTTTCCAATGAAGCCTTCAGACGCCAAGCCAAGGCTTGATCCAAGCCCAAGGATATTTGTCTTTCACCTTGGAAGATACCCCTTAAGCCCCAAGGCAGGGCCTGTACCATTTGATGGCCCCAGTACTTAATACTAAGCCAGTATGTGGGGAAATTTTGCGTGCACATCACACTGAAGCAAACGATTTCAGAGTTTCTGCCTTTCTTTCTTTTATGTTTCCTGAGCTACTAAGAAAATATGACATCATTTCATCCTTCTTAGTAACCTTCTGTTCTACTCTCCTCTTAGGTTACCAGTCCTTCTTCCATATGGATGCCGAGTGACTTGTCCTGTGTCAAGCTAACCAAGAAACTTCATGGCTCCAAACCTCCATGCATCATCATCACACGTGTGACAGAAGCACAATGATTATGACAACTATAGATGAGGATGGCACCCAACAGTTCGTGATAGTTCCCTGCAAGTGGTCCCATTCATGTCCACCCATCTAAGGTGATACTATTTCACATTAGAGGTGAGGAAGATAGAGCGCTGTGGGGGCGGGTCTGATACTAAGTTTCTGTCCCCTAATTGGTTCTTGATCTGTCAGAAAAGAAGCCATGGGCTGACTGCTGGGCAGAAGGAATAGGCGGGACTTCCAGGTTCCTGGAGGAAAAGAGACTGAGGCAAGGGAGGAGAGAAGTTTGCTATGCTTTGGCGAGGGAAGACCCAAGCAGCCATGGGAGGTGTCGGGAGAAGCTGGGGTGTGAGGGTGGGTGGGTGGAGGGGTGGGGTGGGGGTGCTATGGACACTTCTATGGGTGGGAGGTCAGGGGTGTTTAGCAGGGACTAGATGTATCTTAACAACTAAAGTTTACGGTTGATGGGAGGTGTGGAGGTAAGAATATTGTTATGTGTACACTTTTTCCAGGAGGGAGAGAGTAACGCCCAGCAATTGTGTCCTAAGGCAAGCTGAAAAGGAGCAACTGTGTATTCCTGTCATTCATCTGTGGATTCAAGGGAAGCTGGGTGGGA